ACATGTTACAGTTATCACCACCATTAGTTGGTTGCTCTGCTCGGGGTGAACTAAATTCTCATTCACAAACTTGTGCATAGTGTGTGTGTGTGTGTGTGTGTAAATACTTTTGTTCCAGGGCGAACAAAAGCAGGATGAGCGAAATAACACTTTCCTGGAGCCTTTGAAGCAGGTGAATGAGGGGGGGGGGGGGGGGGGGGAANTGTTGAAAAGAGTTTTTGGTTTCATTCTATAGTTACCTTATTTCACATCTAAAATCACACGAATCTGTAGTTGTCGCTTTTAAACAAAGCAGAACATACAGCCATATTTCTTGATGTTCAGGTGAATCCGCTTTATCGTGGCATAACAAACGGATTGTTTTGTGCAGAGCTGAGAACACTTTTGACCAGGACTGGGGTGGAGAGTGCTGTATATGCTCAAGACTCTTCGTTTTCTATGGGTGATCGGAAAGAAAGCATTTTTTATACGACATCACAAAGAATCTTTCGCTTTTCCCGATTTCAATTATTTGACTGTGAATCGAGGGAAAACCGTGTGAGAAACAGTTGCTGTATAAAGCTGCAAACGTTTATATTTGAAATGGTGGAGTGGTCATTAGTTGAAATTTATGCCTGTATGAGCGTTGGGCATATGAAAAGCGCACGATCACATGAGTGATCGCTCCTCTGGCCCAGGCTATTCAAACCCTGCGGAAACGGTTCTGTATAATCAAAGACAACGTTCCAGCAGAAGTCAAAACAGCAGGGATTCATTTCTTTATGACATAAGGATGCACATAATAATCCGTTGAATGGATCACACGCCATGTCCAATTTCGGTCAAGTGTGTGTGTACTATTGAACACCGCACCCCAGGTGTCCCTTAAACCCGTCCAGTTCGATTGACAAGATGAATTTGTCTGTCCCCTGCCGTTAGACGAGTTGAACGGACATGGATGGTAACCGCGAATGTAAGTGGCTCTTCAACATAACTTGCATGTTCAATACGGATCTGATGGCAAGTCGAGCTAATCGTGAATATAACATTTTCGAGTCAAGTTGAACCTGGAAGTCCATGTCAATGGCACCTTCGGAATTTGTCTTTCTAATCTTACCACACACACACACACACACACACACACACACACACACGAACCCTGATGACCAGACTGACGGGACTGAGTTGCCACA